TAATTCGAAATATAATAGGACTTGACGGTCTGCAGATGACGGGAGCAGACCGTGGGCCCAAGGACATTTTTAGGGCCCGAGGTCGAAACTGGGGCAAAGCAGCACGACTCCCGCGGTCAACACTACAACTAACTGATCCGCTGGATCAGAACCATCCTACCGGGTCGGAACGCGATATACCGCCGACCGGGTTGCTCTTCCACACTCCGTTCAGCGTCGACGGCGACGACAGCAACACAAACTGTCGCCCCGTGACAATTGCCGGGAAGAAACTGGCTGGAGCTGGACGAACGCCCCCGTCCGACCCCCGACTGGGTGGCGACGACTACGAGAGGGAAGAAGAGCTCTACCTCGTGCCCCGCCGTGTGCTCGTCGTAGCCGCTGTAATGCTGGCAATCCGGTGTGTGCCGTTTAAATTTTAGTTTATAATGTTTAGATACTTCAGCGAAATTTATTTATAGTATTATAGCAAAAGTAAATACAAAGCTTTGGTGGCTTAAAGGATAAAATAGCAGATACACCGATATAATATAGTCAGTTTGACCACTTAAACAGACGTATGAATATTTAAAAAAAAACGTGTATCTCAATACAAAGAAGAAGATAAGTTACAGTATCTTTCTTACTCTTGGAAAATGTTTTCCTGTATTTTAGGGTATTTAGCTAAAAGCTCCAGTGTGAATCCAATACCGACTGCCGATGTGTCTGTGCCCGCCACTGTCAATGTTAGCATTTCTTCTCGTAGTTCGACATTAGTATAACCTTTTTCGTCTCCAGAAAACGTAATCAGAAGATCCAGGAGTGTCTTACTTTTGTGTGACCCTAAATCTGGGAGAAGAGGAAATTGATTTTTTACTATCTAAGATGAGTAAATTCAAATCTGATCTGGCACTAATAGACAGCATACTGTGAATGCCTCTGTTTGCTTAAGCACACAGTGTTTTTTAATTATCAAACCAGCGTACTGCGGTCACCAGCCTATATTTACTGGTGGTGTATCGTATTGTAAGGCCTCACGGGTAGAATAGTTTTGGCATTTCCATGAATATATTTAATTTAGAATAATTTTCAAGTTCTTTGCCTTATGACGTTCAAGAAATTATGTTGAAATTTATATTACAGCATTCCATTGTATACTGAAAACAATCTCATGAATACCAACGTTAAAATCTGTATAAGTTTACGTACTTCAAAAATATTTCACTCAATTTTCGACTTTGTGTAAAAAAATTGTTAAATTGTTTTGTAAATTGTATATACTGTACCTACCATAATGAGTATCCACTTCTAGATCTTTAGAAATCTTCTCCATCTGAAACTCTTCTCTTTTACTCTGAATTACCTGAAAATCAAACATAAAATTAAATGATAAAACTCTGAACGTCATGGTCTAGGCTTTTTTTCGTGACCTTAATGTAGTGAGCACTCTTTGTGGCTTTATCTTTAATATTTACTGACAATTCTAGACGGGTAAGCCTAGCACATTTTAACTTGCCTAATTACTAGCATGAACTAACGTGTGATCAACTGCTATGGCGTGCTCTGATATGTACGTCTTACCTATTTCTATCGCAAAATTATAATTAGTTCTGTTTTGATGGTAACGACATTGACGTCTGCTGGCATTCTACGGTCGAGAGGCTATTCCAATTGCGCCGATTTTTCTATCCAGAGCGTTCAGTTCGGTCTGAGTCCACCCGAGCACGCCGAAGGTACACATAAGAACGGGCATCAGCCAGCCGCTAAACGCCCATGTCTTATTTACACCCGACAAAAGGCTTTTACACACTTTTGTCAGACGTTCATAAAACACGTAGCATGCAGCCTGTTTGAAGACCACAACGTCAATACCTATATTTTGTGCATGCCCAAATACCGGTATGTTTCGCCCTTGGAGAGTGCCCAAAGGCTTATCCTAATGGATACGGGTAAACGATTCAATGAGACTATTCTCCCTCTCTCTACACAGTGTTAACCGTGAAATTAGGGACGACCTTGCCCTTGTTCTGTCTTTGGCGGCAATCGGACGTCGAGCAAGAGTATTCGTGAAGTTTAGTCGGTACTCGTCCCGTAGGGCAGTTTTCGGAAGATGACCCACGCGCCTTTCTCAAGATGTAGTATCTTCGCAGACGCCGGAGTCCGAGATAAATCTGAAGTCCTGATCCGATACCCCATCGGTCTGGTATCCGTAAACGAAAACTTCAAAAAAACTTCTAAGTGACAGCGTAACAGCAGCGTGTTACTTAGGTACTATGAGTTAGTGAGTCACTTCAAAATTTGGTAGTTAAACAGTTTATTAATTACTAGCGGTCCCCGGTAGTCGAAAATCGACTATAATCTAAATAAGTAAATAAATAAGTATATACTAATATAATAAATATAATAGTATATAGTAAGGAATACCCTACAAAAAGGGTATAAAACCGGCGCGCAGCTCCGTCACCCGCGCATTTGTCGACATTCGTCGAGAGAACATCGTTCAAAGACTTTAAGTGTTAATTTAGAAAACACGAATTTTATAATAATATTGAGGGTACAGTGCCTATAAATAGCAACGCCTTTGCTCGAAACATTCATTCGATCGGCGGCGTTCGTGAGAGAAGGTAGTCGTGGACATGGTGTGCGTGAGTCATTGTCTTAAGTCTCTGTAAGCTTGTGCTAATTGTTATTTTTATTAATGGTTTTTCTTCTGATTCCTAATAATATAATAAACTATAAATAAGTTTGTACACTACTATGATTCTATTGTTATAGACTATTATTATACTTCTATAATCACAGATTTCGCCAAGACTACACTATAGACAAATAATATTAAAGACAAACAATATTATTGTATTCTCAATTTGACCACAGACTTTCAACATTAACAAATTTTTGACAATAAACACAGAGCATATGTGTGTGTAAATGTGTTGTTTCAAATATATGGTAGTGTGTGTAACGTTTTCTTTATTGATTCAATGAATTTTTTATGCCTAATTAAGAAAATGATTAGCATTCTGCACTCCTTCACTATATTCTCTATAGCGACCCGCCCTCGCTTCGCTTCGGAAACATTAAAACACACATGAAACCAAAAAAATTAAATAAAATAAAATTAAAAAAAAGTAGCCTATGTTCATCAGGGACAATGTCGGCTTCTAATGGAAAAATAATTTTTCAAATCGGTCCAGTAGTTTCGGAGCCTATTCGAAACAAACAAACAAACAAATCTTTCCTCTTTATAATATTAGTATAGATAATATTAGTATAGATATAGATAAGTGTGAGAAATTTCTTACTCCTCCGTCCGCGCAATTTTCGTAAAAAGGGGGTACAAAATTGATAAATGAGTTTTATCTTAAACTATAATAAAAAAATACTTAAGTACGAACACATCAATAAATTTACCTGGTCAATAAATTCATGCCACACTTTAATACACTTCTGATGCTCATTGAACACAGGAAACTGTTTGAAAAGCCAATCCGGATGCAGCCATACATGAAACATCCTCTCACAGATTACGTTAAGAAAACGGTTCATAGATTTCAAGAGCTCTGATTCAGCCTTTGCTTGTGCATTGATATTCACGCCCATTGCTGTTTCTAAAATGAAAACGTATTTTTAATCTTATTATCTCTAAAAAGTCCAACGGCCTCAATTACTTTTAAGTGATTACTGGAACTGTAAGGATAATATCGCCCTGAAATATTAGAAAGTCGTCATTCCTTTTAAATAACGACTGCCCCCCACCCTGCAAACCGTAATACATTATTACTTTGCTGCTGAAATAGACAGGGTGGTACATATCCGTTCAGACTCATATTATCACGAGTAATTTTTCCTATAAAATACGTACTTAACAAACGTTTACGATTGACTTCCACTGTGAAAGAATAACAACGTATAATAAAAATGAAAGCGGCAAAAAAACTGTATCATTTGAGAAACTGCTGGTAGGACTTCTTGTGAGTTCGCGCGGGTAGGGTAGGTACCACCACCCTGCCTATTTCTGCCGTGAAGCAGTAATGCGTTTCGGTTTGAAGGGTGGGGCAGCTGTTGTAACTATACTTGAAATCTTAGAACTTATATCTCAAGGCGCATTTACATGGTAGATGTCTATGGGCTCCAGTAACCACTTAGCACCAGGTGGGCTGTGAGCTCGTCCGCCCATCAACGCAATAAAAAAGGAAACTTTAATATAATATGTATATAAAACCCGACCCTTAACTAAGGAGTCTTAATATTCGTCAATTGAATTTAAGCTGTAACTTACCACAAACAGAGTCCAATGTGTAAGCGCTTAGAAAAGGCCAAGAGCTGAACATCCCTTTGCCGACGCATTTACTCAAACTTGAAACAAGCTTCTCGCTTTGCTCAGAGATTATTCCTACAAAACTGTGAACTATTTTCGGACTAAACGCTGGCACCATAATTTTTCGACGTCTTCGCCATATCGACACTAAAATTTCATTTTATACACACAAATGTATTACACGAACTCACCAATACTATACAAGACTCGTAGCAATGAAATGAAATAATTTTAAAGCAATCTATATATATATAAAAATGAATTGTTGTTCGTTAGTCTCGCTAAAGCTCGAGAACGGCTGGACCGATTTGACGAATTTTGGTCTTGAATTATTTATGGAAGTCCAGAGAAGGTTTAAAAGGTAGATAAATATGAAAATGCTCGGAATTAAATAAAAATAATTTTGTTTCGTTTGATGGGTCCCCCGTCGCGTCGGTTGGATTCCTTTTTTTTGTTTTAAGTTTATTTTATACAAAAGTTTAGGTCTTTTATTTATCGATTGAGGCACTACGAAGTCTGCCGGGTCAGCTAGTATCCATATAAAAATGAGCCAACGAGATGACACTGTCAACACGTATTTGAGACAAGCTAACGAAAACTAAGAATAAATAACACTATAATAATAAATATGTTAGACTGGTAGAAAATATTATATGAAGTATGAATGAATCTCTGAGACATACAAATTGAACAAACGTACCTGGTGCAAAAATGCCGCCATTCCCTATCCCCGGTCGAAAAAATCTATGTGAATCGTCTTTCTCCAAGCAGGTCTTCAGAATTACCTCCAAGTCAAAAGGATTTGATGACACTAAATAAATAAATAAAAGATTTGCATAAAATTCTTCTAATCAATTCTCCTTATCTTCTAATTCTATTTCTACCAACAACTGACATCTAAACTAATTCTTGATGAAAAACAAATTAATCTAAACCAAAAAATTACAGTGTTAAATTGATTAAGCCGACGCATTATCTGTGCGAACAGCTGTACGGCAACAGCGGAAATCGAGGTCATTTCGGATCCTCCCGATTTACTAACGATGCTTTTAGATACCTCAAGCACCGGTCATCGTTCTCATTGAACCCGTCGCTTACGACGAAGGGCTCGACGAGTAAATTAACCCTCAGACACAGCCCACTGAGATCATCTGCAGATCGTCAAGTCCCGAAAAAAGAAAGAGCTCTTGGTCCTTCTCGTAATAATTATAAACGGATCCTCAGGGTGGCGGCGACAATTGAGACAATTTACATCCACACGAAATAATATATTCTCTTTAGTACACGTTACGGTGGGTAGAATACGAATGCAACAGAGATATGCTAACCGTCGGTATTTATACAATCATCTTGACCTATTTTAATACAAACTGAGTAGGTAATATTAAACATTGTTCATCTTAATTATTCTGCTGATTATTTACGAACAATTATTATTTAATAATATCGAATTATGTAACAAATAACATTGCGCCGGAAGCTGTCAAGCGGAAGGCGCCAATAAAATATTATAAGTATAAAGAAATATGAATGAACTATTTACTTGATTATGAAATTACTAATTATATTATAAGAATAATAAGTTCTATATATTTCCTAAGTTCGTAAATAATTTATTATGTGAGGCCGGAAGTGTTGCTCGATAACATAATATATATCTCGTAATAATAAATAAATAACATTATGGACAGTTCTTATAGAAGACTTCATTTCTTCTGCTAGAAAACAAACAGTACCGTGACGATCCGCCAAGACAACGTTTTCAAAATTTTAAATCATTTGTTCAATCACTACCAATGTAGGGCGTCCCGTGCTGGGATCGTCGTTAACAGAAGCTACCTTCTATCCGACACAGGCGAAGGACCAACGCAAAGCCGTCGTCGCCCGAAATAATATCTTGTGGTGGCGATTCCGATCCCACGGAATAGATAAATAAGGTTGGAATGGCAATGCAGGCGGGGCAAGCGTGCCACAGTTATGATTCTACAATCATAACTCGACCGATTCTTTCATTCACCGCGTTTAGTGCGCTTCGGACTACTTGGGCGAACAGATCTCCGCTTTATAATGCCGTGTTGTGCAATTATAACTTGTAAAACAAAAAGTCAGACCTCAAGTATAGAGCGAGGAGGTAAATCTTTCGATCGGTAAGTCGAAATTACCATTTAATTACAATATTATTTGTCTAAAACATAAAAATATACTGAGCATTATGAAATTCCAAACATTAACAATATAATTGCAACAAGTTATAAATAGCATACATTGCGCGATGTGTACTCGCCCAATGAACGCAATGACCAAGTCCGCTTCCAATGTACTACATGCATTGCGTTCTCTACACTTCAATCTTTGAAATTTCGGCCTTTGCCCTGATTGGCCGTGGTGCACGGCGCTAGTTTGTCGATAGTGAGGTGACCATGTGGTAAAATAAAATCATCGACAGAATTCTCGACTATATTTATATTTGACATGGATAATTTTTGTATTATTTTATATTTAATTTATGATACCTAGTATATTCTTAGTGAGGCGTATTTTGAGTAAAACAAAGATGTATTATTATCATTGAATTAATGTGAAGGTATAATATAAAGGGACATGTAGACCTCTCATTTACGGGTATTTACTATATTGTCTAAGACGTATTAAAATCTGAGTAAAATGCTATTTGACTTATGCAATAAATTATAAATTTTAGGTTTCCTAAAGAACCTGACGCCAGGGAACAATGGATTGACGTGACAGGTAGTGGAAACTGGAGACAAAGGCGAGTACTATTTGCTCTAAACATTTTACTGAAAATGATTTTACCATAAAAAAATCAGAATACACTTAGTTTTGAAAAATTCATTCGCAATTAATAGCAAGCGCCAACTGCTTAACAAATACGTTTTATTCCAGGGATAGTGACTATTTGTAATTAATAAAAGTAAAATAGTTTTTTTCCAACATTTATTTCATGTTTCATTTTTCCCGATTCATTCATCAGATAATTTATCGATAAAGAATATCGGTTTTATCAAGCTCTAGCGTGTATGAACATTTTTATTGCCTTTTTGCATGTGTGAGTGTGTATGCCTACGAGAGTTTTGTGCTAGTTTGCGAACGAATATCTGTCCTGAGATTTATGTGTGGGTGTTTTTGTTGTATGCGAAATACTTGTAATCATAGTATGTGTATGTGTAGAAATTAAAATAGTAGGGATGAAGCGGCGACACGGGTCCTAATACAAAATTAGAGCAAAGGCCTTTCCAACCTTATTTATCTATTCCGTGGGTCCTAATACAAAATTAGAGCAAAGGCCTTTCCAACCTTATTTATCTATTCCGTGTCCGATCCGGTAGTAGATTCTGCTAAGCACTGCTCGTACTAGGGCTAGTGCTAGAATTTTTTCTCATTATTTATATAAAAATACTCAACTCACCAAAGTAAAGAATGTGAAACAACCACATAGTTACTATGCCATTGTGTTTCATGGAATCGTAGCTGTATCTTTGAAGTGACGACATTATTTCTAAAAGAACAAATATTGGACTTGAAATTATGTCGTCGTATGTATACTTTAATAATAATAATAATATTTATTCTCTTAAAATACAAACACGTACAAGAATTCTTAACACTAATATAATAATATACATGGCTTTTTTATGAGGTATACAATAACAATATTCCCTGGCTTTTATGCTAGGAAAACTTGTTAAGTTAACCAGGAAGAGCGATCTGTAAGAATGTAGTACGTACGTGTGAGTGCGTGTGTGCGTTTGTGCGTGTGTGCGTGTGTGCGTGTGTGCGTGTGTGCGTGTGTGCGTGTGTGCGTGTGTGCGTGTGCGTGTGCGTGTGTGTGTGTGTGTGTGTGTGTGTGTGTGTGTGTGTGTGTGGAACTATCATTTTTTAATAGATGCTTTTTATACCTCAACATAGGTGATGGCATACACGGTTTGACTCCGCATTAATGGACACCGGTAACCGCTTAACACGATGTGGGCCGTAGGCAACTTTTTTCAATTTTCTCTTTTAATTACTTTATTTATTAAATTTCATGCACATTGATTTAAAACACATTAGAGGACTTAATGACTAAGACATGATCTGCCAATCAATCAAGGGTGATGCAGAAAAGTACGTCCTTGGTGCATTTGTTGATCAATTAAAGTTAAAATAGATACTTTATAATTTATTAAACAAAGTTTGTTTACTAAACGAGTATCCACCTACATAAAATGTAAATATAAGAAATGCATAAATCATAGTCATATTATAATACATAAATATTAAATATGTAAATACTTATATACATTTAAAAGTTTATGTGTACATACGTGCATGACTTACAAAACACTAGAACAATTATGTCTTATATTCCAATTATTATAGTTCAACGCATTCAAAGTAAAATTACAATGACATTATCTGCGCTAAAATGATTTTAGATTTCAACACCTTGACGCCATTGACTAATTTACTTTTACAACCTTTTAGATCTATGTTATTGCTGGCATAAAGATACTAAATACCACTAAAACCTCTAATCCAAAAAAAATGAAGAACCATTTTTTATTATTATTTTATAACCTTGTCTAAGAAACAATACATAAATACAATGATGAAAGTAGTCTAATAAATGAATTTTCCGATTAATTAAAAAAAATCCGTTTCCAATCTTGTACTGAATTGAATGAACGAATGAAATAATAAATAAACGAATTTACATAAATAAATGAATATAAATAAATGAATTCTCAAAAGTTCTGGAAAATGTAATTAACGATCTAGCGTTTCAGGAACGAATACTATCAACATTACTAAGACTTACTACACAGATTAATTTTATATGTGATAACACCTAGTTACGATATTGTAAAATATAGGTATTGGTAAGTAGTCTATAAATCCTTATTTGAGACCGCTACACAATAATAATGTATTATCTGTGACACTATTAAAATTGCCGCCAAAAGTTGAAAAGTGAAAAAATCATAACCGCATATACCGCTGCTAAAATAAAAGTAATTACCAAATTCGCATTTACTTATTTGAGTAGTCTCGCATGTTTGAAAGTAAGATACATAATCGCCAACCGCATTGTAATTGGCGATCACCTCTGTCATCGCGAGTTTTCGAGCGGCGATAGAAGAGGGCAACAGACTGAAGTCTACGAGGAAAACGCTGAACAAGTTAGTGCACAGTCTTCTTTAATCTATGAATCTAATTTTTTTATAATTAGCTTGTTATCGCGTACAGTCCGCTTAAAACCCAATATGTTTGTTATATTTTATATTCGTTATCTTATCTTCTAATAACTTTTTCCTCTTGTTTTATATTTAATATTTAATATAAAANGTCACATTTTTCCGTTACGCGCCATCTTTTTTGTATTCATGTCTATGATAATAAAATCCTTTTGTTTAAACTTTATCTAATTTAACTTTATTTAACCAATTTCTAGAAAGTTGCATGTAGATCATTTTTCGAAAAATAAGGCCATAAAGAAGTTTCACTTCTTACGTGTGTACACTAGTACACGCACACATTTTTTATTTATAGATTACGTACATTGCGACAGTTACAAGGCTTGGTCGGATTTGTTTTATAAAAAAATGCTTACCCTCTGTGTTACCCATCAATTTGTGGGCGACGCCAACTAAAAAGTTTGTCTCGTCAGGAGTCGGCATAGCCGCTGCCAATTTATACATATTCCTCCGTCTGTACCGGAACACTAAAACCCAGCCGAGCCCAACTAATATCAGAAGGAGTGCAATCATTTTCCTATAATTCGTTTTTACATAACGCACGTACGTCTGCTTTGGTTAAAGCCGGGGTTATAAAATTGCCTAAGGAAAGATCTCTCATTTATAGTATTGTTTCGCAACAACGATTATCCGACTTCCGGGGTAGACACGAAACTTGCAGCACTTAAAAACTAGTCAAACTGAACGTCATGCGTCTCAGAAACTATACTTAACATAAAATATCAATTTAACAAGCACAAGATGACTAGTCTTTGAAAAACTCACTTTTTCAACACATTTTCTTGATTAGATTATTTTTGTAGTAGACATAATATGTACCTACCTATATCGACAAATTGTTGATTAAACGGCGAAGCTATCTCAAAGAAATCATATTCTAAAAATGGTCAATTCTAATATGAATTATTTGTATTAAATGATATTTTTTTATAAAACTTAAATCCACCGATATGCGACCTCGTGTTGTTTGCTTCGTTGGTGTGATCAGAGTTCGGTATTCGGCACATCATATCTTGTTTCAAAACGCGTTCGAATGCAACTCCATTTGAACATCATAGAGCCGAAGTATGGAAATACATATATCTTTGATTTCGGCAACGACGACCGGCTTATTCGTTTGTAATGTATTTATATATACTATTTTATCGCAGCGTATGTGGGTCGGTCTGCAGACGTTGGGAGCAGACCGCGTGCCCAAGGATATTTTAGGGCCCTACCGCACCAACAACTCCGCTTGCACTCTCTCACCCCACGTCCAATCTCTGACCAGGGACAGAACCCGGCTAGTGTAGGGGTGCTCCCGCGATCAACACCATAACCAGACTCGCGACGCCCTGCGAGGACGCCCGACCCACGGGTCGATGAAGCGATCGTCGACAACCAACGACGCCGGTCTCCGCGGTACAGCGGCCCGTCAGGCCACCTGGGTAATGCCGCTGGTGTTCCGGGATACCCCGCTGGGTTTGAACTAGCCTGTTGGGTCGGAACGCGATACATCACCGACTGGTTTGCTCTTCCACTGTACATCCTCCGACGCATCGTCACATTCTCCTAGTGCCAGCCTCGACTCCCTTAGATCATCCCCGTGACCATCACTGAGACTGCTTCCTCACAGGGACCGAAGGTGGACGAACGCCCTTCTCCGACTCCTGGCTCGGCTGCTTTTTTTTTTCCTACCTAAGCTGAGAGCCTTGAGAGGCTATTTCAGCGTAACCTTAACTAGTAGGTGAGCTCACGGGGCTCAAACCTGACGACGTTGCTAACGCGAACCCTAGCTAGAGCCGTGCTTCGCAGAATCTAGCACTGGATCGGAAACACTACGCACTGAGAAGATCTGGCGAGAAACTCAGTGGGCTGTGCCAGAAGGAGCGCCGGCGCGGCGCCGAAAGGGGAGAAGAGCTCTCGCTCTCCCGTTACGCCGCATCCTTCTGCGAAATGGTGGACTCGCAGAAGTCGAACATCGCCTGCCAAGACACGTCATTACCGAGCGTTGTAGTCACGATGGTCGACAACGACAGGTACGGTCCTGTCTTCGTGACGAGGACGTGGCCTACTCCGAAAGCGGGGCAGTTTGCAAACGTGTGCTCCGCCGTATCCAGTCGCAGCCACTGCACTGGTGGCACTTCGGCGTCGGCTCCCTCGGGGCGACTACATGCAGGTAGCGGCTGAAACAGCCCTGTCCCGTGAATACCTGCGTCGCCCGGAAGGTAACACGTCCGCGGTCGCGATTCACCCAGTCCGAGAGGACCAGGCCAATGCCTCAATGGCTTGTCGCCCGTAGGCGGGGTTCGCCAGGCGGCCAGACCACGCCTCGAGAACGGCTCGCCGAGATTGGAGCCTCTGCTCGCGATATAAAAAAGATATAGCTTAACCTATACGCGAACGAAAGTTTAACGGTTAGTTATAATTGACATCATGGCTTGTATAATAAATAATTTTTAATATACCTATATTATAATTTAAATACTATTATAACTTTTTCGATTATTTTGTTTTTGGTGTCCTATTAAAACTAATCAGACATTATCATTAAAATTATGGAAAAGACAATGCAGACCGAATATATTTTTTTAAAGTAACATACTTGAAAGAACATATTTTAATATATCGGTATGAGAACTAATTTATCACTATTTACTTCTCTGTGCCCATTTATGCCACAATACATAAATGCGTTTCTATTTCCTAACCCCCTTCAATTCCTTTACTAAAAATAGCTAGTTTTTCGCTTTTTAGTTTGTATTTTAATGTAGTCAAGGTTTTTCGTTTCATTTCATAACTTATTTTATTTCACACTTTTTTTTTATTGTATATAAAATAATTTAGCTCTATGTTCTACTCTACTTATGTTCTCAAATTTTTTCCTTGTATCACGACTAAGACAAATAAAACGACAGGTTGTAATCCGTCGTAAAGGCTTACAGAACTTAGAGTTAGACTTTGGAGGCTCTATATTTCTTTCCAAAGGCTGCTAACTCATTCTTTTCTTAAAAACAATTTGCTCGAGTTCATATGTATTTATTGTTCACACGAAAAGATTGAGAGATTTGTTTCAATTTCGATAAAAAGCGCTAATATTCAGCTTTTAGCTGTCGCTTGGAGTCGTCATGGCCTAAAGGATAAGACGTCCGGTGCATTCGTATCTAGCGATGCAACGGTATTCGAATCCCGCCGGCGGGTACCAATTTTTCTAATGAAATACGTATTTAACAAATGTTCACGATTTACTTTCACGGTGAAGGAATAACATCGTGTAATAAAAATCAACTGGCAAAATTATAATATATAATATAAATTGCGTAATTACTGGTCTAGGACCTCTTGTGAGTCCGCACGAGTAGGTACCACCGCTCTGCCTATTTCGGCCGTGAAGCAGAAACGCGTTTCGGTTTGAAGGGTGGGGCAGCCGTTGTAATAATAATAATAATAATTTAACTCTTTATTTAACACCACATGTACAGAGTAAGCATTATAAAACAAATAATAGACGGTGACATAAGTTGGCGGCCTTATCGCTGAAAGCGATCTCTTCCAGGCAACCTTGCAGGGAGAGTAATAAGCAAACTAGCATGGACGGTGCTATATCTCAATAAACTTGCATAAAAATATATACTTATATACACATGTGAAAAATAAATACAATATAAGATAAGATTTACATACGATTAAATACAAATAAATACTAAAAATATACAAGTAAATACAAAATAAGTAGCAACTTGTACAGTTATATCGTAGGAGCCATATTATTGTGCAAGGTAGTACGATTTTAATCTGAACTTGAAAATTTCCGGCGAGGAGGATTGTTTGATGCTTAAGAGTAGTGAATTCCATAAACGGACTGCTTCAACCGTAAAGGAATGTTCATGAAATGACGTCCCGTGAGCCGGAAACTTCAGCATTAAATTCTCCGATGACCTAAGTGAATGGGAGTTTGCAGTATGTAGGAAATCAAAACGTTCCTGAGGGTAGCGCGGGGACGAGGAATTAAACAGGACACTGTAAAGAACAGACCACATATGAACATTCCGGCGATAACAAATAGGAAGCCACTTGAGCTTAACTCGATATTCAGAGACGTGGTCATATTTGCGTAAACCAAATATAAACCTCATGATCAAATTTTGAAGACGCTCAAGTTTATTTAGCTGGGCCTCTGGGCATAATCAATAATAGGGAGTAACAGAGACTGTGCAAGTACAATTTTAGTAGACGTTTGAAGAAAATTACGCAATGTACGTAAGGAACCCGCAGAGAAAAATAGTCTGCGACTGACTGACATCAGTTGTGGTCCTCATAACAAACTGCGGTCAATGATAACACCAAGGTTTGTAACGGTGTCACTAAGCGGGACGTTTATCCCGTCAAGAGACAATTTTGTAGTCGTCGTGGCCTAAAGGATAACACGTCCGGTGCATTCGTATGTAGCGATGCACCGGTGTTCGAATACCGCAGACGGGTACCAATTTTTCTAATGATATACGTACTCGACAAATGTTCACGATTGACTTCCACGGTGAAGGAATAACATCATGTAATAAAAATGAAACCCGCAAAATTATAGTTTGCGTAATCACTGGTGGTAGGACCTCTTGGGAGTCCGCACGGATAGGTGCCACCACCCCGCCTATTTCCGCCGTGAAGCAGTAATGCGTTTCGGTTCGAAGGGTGGGGTAGCCGTTGTAACTATACTGAGACCTTAGAACCTATATCTCGAGGTGGATGGCGCATTTACGTTGTAGATGTCTATGGGCTCCGGTAACCACTTAACACCAGGTGGGCTATGAGCTCGTCCACACATCTAAGCAATAAAAAAAAAATTGGGGCAGATGTGTCCACTCGATCTTACTGCATATCCTTATACTGAGACCTTAGAACTTATATCTCAAGGTGGGTGACGCATTTACGTTGTAGATGTCTATGGGCTCAAGTAACCACTTAACACAAGGTGGGCTGTGAGCTCTTCCACCCATCTTACCAAAATGATAAATAAATAAAAACCATTGAACCATGTAACATAACCAAGTACAACTGAGAAAACATAAAATTTCCTAACTTTTTCTTCTGCGTATACTCGAATACTTTGCCTTTTGCTAAAATTATATAATTCAGCGGGTCAATGGAAAGAGTTTTTATGAATAACAAAATATGGCTATATCTTTCGAATTCTTTGACTGAGAAGCTTGACATTATTATGACTTTCGTCCGCCATTTAGCCATTAGCATTTGATACTGATTTAGAAGTCGTCGTGGCCTAAGCGATAAGACGTCCGGTGCATTCGTGTTGAGCCATGCACCGATGTTCGAATCTCAGGCGGGTACCAATATTTGTAATGAAATACGTACTCAACAAATGTTCACTATTGACTTCCACGGTGAAGGAATAGCATCGTGTAATAAAAATCAAACCCACAAACTTAGAATTTGCGTAATTACTGGTGGTAAGACCTCTTGTGAGTCCGCGCGGGTAGGTACCACCACCCCGCCTGTTTCTGCCGTGAAGCAGTAATGCGTTTCGGTTTGTAGGGTGGGGCAGCCGCTGTAACT